GGTGCCGTAAGGTTGAAATTGCTACTCTGCTCTTTGCTTGATTCGTCTACACAAGTTCAATGTACTACAAAAAGTCCTTCATTCAACTCAATAGTTGCTTTCGTCTTCGTTCCTGCCGTAGCCGCGGTTCCCGCCGTATCCCTCGTTGATGTTGAGGCGCTCAGCGCCAAAAGTTTCGTCGCGGTCCTCGTCGTTCCCGCGCCATCCAGATTCGGGTTCTGCATCATAGCCGCCCGAGCTCTCCTGGCCGTACCCACCACCACGCTCCGATTCTCCAAGCCCATACTGGCTCTCCTCCGTCCTTCCATAGCCATCTGCACCGCGCCCCGGTTCTTCGCGCCCGTACTGGCTCTCCTCCTGCCTTTCATACCCACCTGCACCGCGCTCTTCTCCGCGACCCGACCCATAAGCGCCTTGCGAAGAGTCATAGCCCTGCTCCTCGGACCTCCCATACACAGCGTTGCCGCGGCCCGACGATCCGTACTCGTTCCCTCCTCCATAAACCTGCTGCTGCTGCTCCTCGGCCCTGTCATATCCAGAGGACCCGTGGTGGGTTCTCCCTTCGCCGCCGCCGCCGCCGTACGTCTGCTGTTCTTCTGATCTTACATACCCATACTCACCACGGCCCGCCACCGACTCGTTTCTGGATCCGTATTCATTTCCGCCGCCGTACGACGGTTGCTCCTCCGTCCGACCGTACCCCGAAGAACCGCGGCCTGAGCTGCGCTCCTCCGGCTGGGCATACGACGGCGTGTACCCACTGCTTTCGTTGCGCTCGCTGCGGCCGCCGCCGTACGAATCTTCGTCCTCCTTGTCGTGCCGACGCGCGCCGTGTCCGTGGTGGCCCTCTCTATGGTGAGTCTCGCCGCGCCCAGAGCCATACGCATCGGTCTCTTCATTGCGGCGGGAGCTGCTGTATTCGTCCGACTGGCCGCTGCGGCCGTAGCTCTCCGTGCGTTCGCTGTTGCTGGAATAGTCGTTGCTGCTCTTGCCGTAGCCTTCGCTTTGACGCGTAATGCCGCCCGAGTAGGAAGACTGCGATTCTACAACGCGACTCAGCCCGCGGCACATGAATCCATATATCGCCAGACGTACCACCGTACTGCTGTCCGCCACTGCCATATTCATTGCTGCTCGTGTTGTACTCTTCATCTTGGCGCGTATTGCCGCTCGAGTAGGATTCTGCAACGCGACTCAGCCCGCGGCACATGAATCCATATATCGCCAGACGTACCACCGTACTGCTGTCCGCCACTGCCATATTCATTGCTGCTCGTGTTGTACTCTTCATCTTGGCGCGTATTGCCGCTCGAGTAGGATTCTGCAACGCGACTCAGCCCGCGGCACATGAATCCATATATCGCCAGACGTACCACCGTACTGCTGCTGTCTCTCCTGTTCGCCGCTGCCATATTCATTGCTGCTCGTGTTGTACTCTTCATCTTGACGCGTGTTGCCGCTCGAGTAGGAAGATTGCGATTCTACAATGTGACTCAGCCGACGGCACATGAATCTACCCATATAGGCAGACGTACCACCATACTGCTGCTGCTGCTGCTGCCCGCCGCTGCCATAGCTCTGGCTCTGGCCTTGGGGCTTGCGCTGTGGCTGCGCGCCATGCCCGCACCCACCGTACCCCGGCTCGTCGAGATTCTCGTTCTCTGACCCAAGGCGCTTGTTCTTCCCGTTCCGCACGCTCTCCTTGGTCAACGCATCGAGCGTCTCCCGAGCCTCGTCTTGGCCCAACCCGCCGAGCCAGTTCTCCATCTCCTGGAACATGGCGTTCTGGATGTTGGACCGGCCGCTGGCGTAGTACGGGTGATGGAACGCCTCCAAGATCTACAAACAATAGTCTCAGCAACCGACTCGCGGCAAGAAAGAACGGAAGATGCACTGACTGCATCGACTGCCTGCGATGGATTACTATTATCGGACCAAGCCTATGCGATGATCAGAAATGTTATCAAGAGGGCGGTGCAGAAATTTACCTGGACGATGATCTTGACGGAGTGCTCGACCACAAGGATGGCAATCTTTCCGGCCGGCTCGTTCAAAATGAGGCCAAAGTGGTCCTAGAAGACAGTCAACTGGGGAAGAGAAACCGTCCTTTCAGAGAACGGACCTTGGAGAGCAAGCTGTGCGACGGGTCGGATGCACGAGGGTTGTCGAAGACCTGGTATTGAAGGTGAGCGACATTCGAGGCACGGCACAACTGAACCCCACCTCATACTGATCTTCTGAGTTGATGACAGCTTTACTCCCTTCGCCCAGAACGGACGTCGCCTGTTGCAAAATGGGCTGTGGAATCACAAAGATTAGGTCAGATTTCCGTATGCTGAGAAAATTTGTACCGTAATCCAAGGAGCAATAACCGTGTAGACATCTAATAGATTCATCAGTACAGCAATAGACCCAGAGCGGAGGGTACCATACAAGCGTTGAGCGCGTTCGAAAGCTGATCCATAAGCTTGTCGAGCCCTGGAATCATCTCCATCTTCTCCAGGATCGACCTCATCAGCCCGTCGCGCCATTTCAGCAGCTGCAGCAGCTTCTGCTGCACGTCGGGCGGGGCGATATTGTCCGGGTCGAAATTGTACGCCTTGGCCTCCTCGTGGAGCTGCTCGCCCTCGTTCATCTTCGAGGCTCCGCCGCCGATGGGGAGCTTCGAGAGGATGGCCTTGAGGGCGGAGACGTTCGAGTTGTCGCCCTGCTGCGCTTGATTCATCTTGCTAGCCAGGTCGGTTACACTCGCTTGACTCAGTTTGCTAAAACCGTTGGGATTAGCGCCGTTCACTCGCTCGAAAGAGGAGTACACACTCCGTAGCTTCACCCATCAGACTAAAAAGAACTCAGGATGGCGGGCCAGAAGAGTATATGCATTTCATTACCTATGCAAGAAATCCGCACCGCCGAACGTGCCGGTAACGAGCGGGGGTGCTCTGCCATGGGGCGTCTCGATGTCGGTCGCGTCGCCAACGTGGCAGAATACGTTCGAGTGGCCCATCTTGCGGAGCGCGATCTCGACCCAGTTGCTGTGCGCCAAGAGATCTTCGAGAGTGTGCAGGCCGGTCCCGAGCAGGCGGTACGCCTCATACAGCTCCGGACCATTGCGGCCTTGCGCGCGGCGCCCCATCTCGATGCAGGCGACCAGCACACGGCGGATGTGCGCGGTTGAGGTGTCCCAGCCCTCATTTTCCGACGCTGGAGGCGGGTGTGAATTTCCAAGCAAGAGACAAGGAAGGAGCGCGGACCCATGTATTTCTGAGAGGCATGGAATGAACGGGGTAGGGTGGAGGACGGGATAAGAGTGTGTACCTTCATCCCGGTGCGCGTGTCGATCTCGAGCTCGCGGGGGTTGACGGGAGGGCGGAGCTTGGGGTGGAATTTGCGGGCATCGCCTTCTTTTTCAGCGTAGCCTCTGAGAACTGGGATCAGTACGGGGTCGTAGCGACTGCGTGGGGACTTGCTTGGGATTGTCGATATGTTCCTGCGATACAAGAGTTAGTGCTTCGTACGGACATTTAGTGGGGTGTGTACGCACGACAGGCAAGTATACTCCAAGCCGCTCGGGAGTAACCTGGAATTCTTCCGTGGCAAAGCCAAACGTCTGCAGCACGATATTAGAAAAAAAATTGGTGTAAAGAACATTTCGAGACTTGCCATAAATCCGAGAACGGATACAACGAGAATAAGACTCTCGGCCGTCAGCTTGCTCAGACCACCGATGTCCATCGCCTACGAACTTGGTTAATATCGTGTGGACCATGATAACCACTGCCGGTAGCTGCCGGTGAATACCTGAGAATAATCTCTCAACCAATTGCCCTGCGGAATCGTGAGCAGCAGAACTCCGAGCCACAACGAATGGAATGCATACAAAGTAGACCTTCTTTATGTCGGAGCTGGAAAACTTGGGGCCGCCAGGGCCAGAAGTCGCGGTCTTGATAATGGCCTTCGCGAAGCCAAAGAGGTCGCCGCCGGCGCTGTGCGACGCCGCGGCGAGGCCTGCAGTCTTGGCTAGCGTCGACAGGATGTTCTCGATATCGCCATGACGGAACGCCTTGTCTAAGTGAACGCGGATGAGGGCGATGTCGCTGGAAGAAAGCGCTGGCACTGACCATTAAGAAACGCGAAATCGGGGATGTCGCCTGCGCCAAAGGCATGCACCGTGTCCGGGAGTAGGACGAGGACGACGGTGAGAATGAGGAGTGTTGTTGTAAAGTTGAGGGAAGCAGTCATGGTGGTTCGTTGTAAGGGAATGGTCGGCTGCGGGTGGAGATGTCGTGAATAACTAATCGATATCGAATCCACAGATGGCTTGGCGGCACTGCCGTGGACGCCAAGAATCGATCCTTGTTCTTGCCATCCATCATCATCTTCAATTTCGATTCGCTCTCACTGCGTTCTCTGTCCATTTGCGCGCGCTGTGATTGCACAAAGCGAGGGATCACTGGCATCATAACCGCATTTGGAAACAGGCGTTGAAACTCAATCAAGTATAGTAGGCGTGAAGAGAGTGTTTTAATTCTCAAGCTCAAGTATAGAACAGGAAAGGTTGTTGTTATTGCTATTTTATTTTTATTTTTTACGAGGCTCGTTGTGCTCGTTGTGAATCGGATTCAAATTATATTGTATGAGACTTTGAATGTAGTACTAGTAGCCTAGTATGAAACTAATGATTACTCGCCTTACTTCGACCGCCTCCCGCCTCGCCTCGCCCCGCCCCGCCCTGCAGCCAAACCCCCGAAGGGGACTCTTTCAGCATGGTAGCTTGTGGTTTGTGAGGTAAGTACGCACCCTTTATTTAATTGATCCGCCCCGCCCTGCCCCCGAAGGGCTCTCTTTGAGCATGATCACTAGTTATATATATAGATCCTCGCACCGTTTATTCAATTCATCCGGCCGTGCCTATAGCCAAAGCCCCGAAGGGCCCCTCTGTGAGCATGACAGCTTGTGATTTGTAAGGATTAACAACGCACCGTTTGTTTAATTCATCCCGGTGTCTCCAGAGGGATTCGAACCCTCGACCTCGTCTAATCGAGACAAAGTTCGATTCGATGGGACTGAACCACTAGGCCATGGAGGCGACGGAAACAATTCAATTGCGGCAGATATGGTGCGGTCCGGACAATTGGACCTACAAGTTGGAGGAGGGTTGGTGTGGCGGTGCGCTGTTAGATTTTCCTTGGGCAGGGAATGTGCTGGAATACCCTCCGGTGCCCACTGCCTAGATTTTGGCATGGACCTGAATATAAAATAATGTTGTTCCAGAGGTTAAAATCATGACCCAGCGTCGAGGACCAGTTGATACAATGACGCGGCGTTCTGAGGGCAGTGCGCATGAGGTTTCTCCTTCTGGGAAACCATTCCAAGATTACTGTTTTGGGCTCGATATCTCTGATCCGTGCCTCGGAAGGGGATATCAAACGCGCTCGGGTGGACGCGCCGCGCAAACGCCGAGCGTGACGTGTGACGTCACGCGTCCAACGTCACTCCCTTCAAACCATCATGGGGAAATCAGACGCGGACGCGCCTCAGCAGTTGGCCCCTCCCCAGCTGCTGGCGGATACTCTCGGCTTCACCCCACAGCTACTTCTAGACGACATAATAAATATCGCCAATCACGCCGTCCAAGATGGAGTGAACGGCGTCGAAGACTTTCTTCAGCAACGCCTTGCTAGACAACTCGGCGACGTGGACGGGACAAACGAGGTCGAGCAGGGACTCGTCGCCTTCCAGACCCTCCTGGAATTTCACACCGACGTCGCCTTCGACGTCTTTGAGGCCTGGTCGTTGCGCAACGTATTCGCGGTTCCAGCGGACCTGCCCATTGTTCTGCCCCATCATGAGAACCTGGATCTCACTCAGACACCGGATCACGAGCAGGCGCTGATGGATGAAATCGACGATCTGCGAGCCCGCATCGAAAGCGTAAGGCGTCAGCTCCTCGTTCTCATTTGTGGCTTATCCGTTGTCGCATGCAGCAACGAAGGCTGAGACAACAGCTCAAACGAGCGAACCACCGCCAGGATACCAAAGTCAGAAAGGCACGGAAGGTTTTCGAGATCCTGGCTACCTATGAGCCCACGGTGGTCGCGGCCAGATCATTGCCCGCCGGGCTGATGGCCATGCATGAATCCGTGTCATCGCTCCCAGAACTCGAACCTGCCACAATCTCTGCGCTAGCGCAGCTGAGACTCACAGAGGCGGGGAAACGCCAGTGGGAGATGGGGAGGACGGGCTACATCAATTGGGCAATTGCGCAGCTTTTGGTCAAATCGGAGGAGGATGGAGGAAACGAGCTCCTTCCAGATGTCGCAAACGCAGAAATGTTCAGGAAGGCGTCCGCGGCGATGGATATTGTTTCCAGAGACTTGGCAAGTGCAGACGGAGGAGATGGAGATGAGGCGATGGAGGAATGAATGTACTGCTGGGTTCTCTTTGTATTTTTATGGGATTACACTATTGTGACTTTGGGATGCCGCTAGGATAATAGAACGCCAGATGTATTCGAATTACAACAACCTAACCCTGCGGCGATGTATACAAACCCTCTCTAGAGACTCTTTAACCTCCGTTCCTTGTTCCCGACCGCCCTCTTTTGTGTCTTCAGTTCAGCCCCAAACAATTCCTTGGTGGCTTTCTTGTCCGCTCTCCGTGTCTGCCGCTCTTCTTTCACAGCAGCTTTTCTCGCCTTCTTCTCTTCCTTGGATTCGTTTCGGTCGCGTTTTATGGTTTCAACGCGAGGTCGGCCGTCATCGTCCGAAGATTCAGAATCGGAATCGGAGGCAAAAGATACATGTCCCTTGATTTTCGGTTTCGAGTCTTCGTCATTCACGACGGAAGGGAGGCCGGTCCGCGGGTCAAGATGTATCTTGGGGATCGGTTTCTTGGGATCCCGAGTCCGGATGAGGCGCGGGTGGTTCTCTAGATTGGAATATGTCGCTACACGCATCGTTTAGAAACCTAACAGAAGGTGGTTATTTGTAAATCTCACTCAGAATGGTTTCGCAATCCCATCGGTCTTTCCGGTCGTCGATGTCGAACGGCATCAATATGTCGTCTTCTTCGTCGTGCTCGCCATCACGCTCGACCCGAACTCGCTCATCCTGGCCCATTGCCCGGCGCAGAGTGTCCAACTTTGCAGTCCCACTGTCGCCTTCGAGTTTAGGCTTCATTTTGCGACCTAGGATCTCGTAATCGTTCAGGAATTCGTCCATCATTGATTCGAAATCCTCTCTTGAGGTTATTAGTTCAGGTGCGTCATCTTCATCTTCTAGTTCTTCTTCCGATGGCTCAGAGTCCTCGTCAGAGTTGTATTCTTTGAGTATCATCTGGAAATCCGTGAGCTCAGGAAGAAAGGAGTAAGAATAGTGCATACCTGGTCGAATCGCTCGTCCAGCGTTTTAAGTGCGTCATTGCGATACATGGAGGAGCTGCTCATGCTGTAGCCGGAGGCATCACTGGTACCTTTGCGACGTTTCTTGCCCTTTCCACCGATGACAGACATCTCAGGTAGTCGGCCAACGGTGTCCCCACCCTCGGAACCGTCATAGCCATCTTCACTCTTCTCCCCAGCACCTGATTTCACCTTTTTGAACTGGGCAAATCTCGCCTCCCAACCAGCAGCTTCATCGATCTCCTCCTCCTCCTCCTCCTCCTCGATCCCTACACCTTGTTCAGAGAACTCAAACTCGACTTCTTCGTCGCCCCGCTCGCCATCCCCGACTAGCTCTCCAAAGAAATCGTCCTCCAGATCGTCTTCCACAAATGCATCATCATCAAGTGCCTCCAGCACCTGCCGGAGATGAGGGTCCATATCAGGCTGGAAACCCGCAATGCTGGCTGGGACAGCTTGCTGAGATTCATATGTTCTAGGCAGCTCCGACGTCGAGGCCAGGACTCCTTCGGGGAGGTCCTTCAGAACGATCCCTTTGCCTTTTCCTTTTTTCGACGCAGATGGTGCCTCTACCAAGACGCTTTCTACACCGTCCTCCTGGACACCGACCTGCCGAAGGTGCTGCATATAGTTGTAATCCGAGTCATCGTAGTACACCCCGTATAGTGCAGCTTCGCCAACGTTCGTAGACAGTTCTGACTCGGGGAGCATATCTTCCAGTTCTGCACGAGATTTTCCCTTCTTGGCGTTCTCCCGTTGGACGGGTTTCAATACATGCTGACTAGCGTCGGGATCGTGGATGAGAGGATCGCGCTGCGAACGGTGCACAAGCTGAAAGTGCTGGGCTCCGGGCTGGCGGAATATAGATTTTGGAGGCATTCTGGTGGTGCGGAGGTCGTCGAGGTGAGAAACAAAATTTTGGGCTAAAATAAGCGAGTCAGATGGCGTTGGTCAACAAGGTGCAACAGGCGATGCTCACGCCTTCATTGCCCAAACCCGCTTTCCCTCAATCTACCGTTCCCTCCGTGACTATAGACTTGGTATCCGCGGGAACAGCCTCTTAGAAGTGGCCTGGTCGTAGCTAGGCCACAATGGACAGCCGAGTCAACGCTCAGCGGGAACAAACACGTCGTGGCTTCTCCATATACGTTTCGTTTATTGCCATCCGACACGCTCGTTACTGACATTTATCTCTGGTAATTACTAGTCACCAAAAGGTCGTTCTGGAGATAGACTTTTCCGGCTGTCTTTGGGTGCGTCAACCAGCCATGCGTCGTGTTGTCTCATCCTCATTTTTGCCACCAACAGGGCTACACGGAGATCACAATAGTCCCCACTAGCAAAGACCTGAAGACCATAAATCTCCACTCACGACAATGCAGTAAGAAGCTTGACTTCTTACGGTCTTATCCGTTCACGAGCTTTCGTTTAGCCATCCAAACCGTCACTGTGGCGAATGTCCCAGCCGAGTTCACGCACCACGACCCTCTTGCAAACATCACTGTTGGAGCCCCGAATGAGCCTCTCGATTGCCACAGACACCCGGAGCTCAAACGCAAGATATATTCTGCTCTGCAGGAAAGCGACGAGGGAGAGTTATCGATTGGTATCCCAGTGGAGGTTGCTTTGAAGTATTCTGGTCAATCCGTGAACCCTATTATCAGCGAAGGTGAGGTTTCACTACGTCTCTGAAGAACTCAGCTCACCGTGCCAGTAGTAGCGACTCCAGAACCTCAGACACCCGGGACCCTACCCCAGGCGTCGCAAGTGGTCCCCGAATTCGCTCCTATCGCCATAAACATTGCGTACAGCCTCAGAAACCCAGCAGACGGGTTTCAATTCGTGTTTCCGACGGATTCTTATCCCTACGTGAGTTATGAACAGTGGTGAACTCGCTCGTGACTCATCTTGTGTAAAGCGCGTACCCCATGCTTACACAACACCATCGTCGCCTGACGCTGCAAGATGCTGGGTTCCGTGTATCGATAACCTTTGGGAGAAATGTACTTGGGAATTCGAATTTGTCGTCCCTCGATACCTCGAGGAGATATCTGTGGAAGAGGATGAGCCGACCGACGCAAGTCCGACGTTGGTCGTATGCAGTGGAGAGTTGGTTGAACAGGTGCGTCTTCAGCTACTCTGACTGGAGTCAACGTTAACTGGCTCTAGGTTGCGCACCCCTATAGTTCGCACAAGACCATCTTTCTTTTTTCCCAGGCCGTCCTCACCTCAGTACAACATATCGCATTTGCCGCGGGCCCTTTTCATATGTACTCCATACCCATGGACCATATAGCGGACGACAACTCCTCCCAACCCCCGATATATGCATTCTGCCTCCCAGGGCATGAATCTCTCCTGACGACGTCGACCTCCTGCCTCCGGTCCGCGATGAACTTTTATACCACCGAGTTCGGCTCCTATCCCTTCGGCTCTTACAAACTCGCCTTCGTCGATGAGATGCCAATGCAGCGATTCGACAGCTCCACCTTTTCGCTTCTCACTGTCGACCTGCTTTATGGGGAAGATGCTATTGAGCAGTCCCTCGAGACGCGACATGCCCTAGCCCACGCTTTAGCGTGCCAATGGATGGGAATCAACATTCAGCCCAAATTCTTCTCCGATACGTGGCTAGTCAACGGACTTGCACTATACATAACGGGTCTCTACGTCAAAAAGCTGCTCGG